GGTTGTGGGTGGTGGGTTACAGAACATAGAGAAAGCTCCCAGCTGAGCCCCGTAAACCCACAGGTCCACCACGCCGCCCGGAGAAGGCTGAGGGCTGAGCAGAAGCCGCCCAGCCCTGCCAGTGCTGCTGGGGTGGAGAACTCACCACTCCGAATTTCTTGAAGTATTCCCTGAGCTCGGTCTCACCACAGTTGTGAGGAATTCCACCAACAAATATCTTATTGGATTTGCTGCTGTCACTCCTGGACCCTTTCTGCTGTTTCAAAAAGGAAAAGACAGTCAGTTCACACGGGAATCCTCAAAATACTTCCCGTAAGCTGTGCATGACTGCGCTGGCTTTAGAGGCAGCTGAGAGCCAGACAGAAGCACTCCACAATCCGCAGTCCAGAGAGCAACCGCAACACGGAGCTATACGACAGGCTGTTTCCACGTTCCACAGGGAGATGAGGAGACAGGAATCTGGCACTTTTGCAGGGCCTCTGTTTCAAATAAATGTGAGCGTAGCACCAGTGTCCTGCCACCAGGAAGCTCTGCAACACGAAGCCAGAGACTGCAGAATGACGGGAAAGAGGCAGCTTCCAGAGACGACACTGCCTTTCACACTACAGTTCTTCAGCTGGTGACAGAGATGACTACGGAACTCTCCAGCAACTGAAGAGCCAAGTAAGACCTGCCCTCATCTCCCACCTCCCCAACCCCAACCCCAACCCCAGAGCTCCGTGTGCCAACCCTGTGGGGCTAAGGGCATCTGCCATGGATACCACTCACGGGACCCAGTAATGGCCAGGCGGGCTCAGGCTGCCCTCCCTCACCCCACTCCCACCCAGCCCTTTCTTCCTATCCAAGGGCATGTTTTAAGGGGTCCTAAACACTTTGGGGGTGCGTGTCCATTGCCGTGACTGTGGGGGCAGCTTCCCGAGCATATACTTGGGTCACAGTCAGTTGGTCAGTTTGCTTTACACACATCGTATCTCGATAAGGCTGCTGTGATGATCAGGTGAAATACAAACCCTGACTGGATTCCAGTCTGGAAAGAACCTCTGTGAAAATTATCTGTGAAATTATTCCAGAAATGGGGCATGAACTGGACCTAAGGTGACACCGGGAACAACTGCAGGCGTGTCTTGGCTGCTGGTGGGTCTGTGGGCGGAGGTGCACTCTCCAATCCTCCAGAGCAGGATGTGTAGGCAGGGACGGACATAAATACACACATATAGATAAACCTGGCAAAACAGCGACAACTGATGAATCTAGATGGTGTATTTAGGTGTCTGTGGTACTAGTCTTCCAATTTTTCTGTACTTGGAAAGCTTCCTAATAAAATGCTGGAAAAATAAAACCTGTCCCCAGGGTCTGTGGTCCGTCCACTAGCAGCAACTGAGGTTTTCTCAGGCTTGGCCCTGCCGCCCACTCGGGAGGCCATGCTTAGTGCTGCAAACGCCTGCGGGTCAGTGGGGCTGGAATGTTCTTTGAGGACAGAGCGCTCTCCATATGCACCATCGCATGTGAGCCCAGATGGCGGCCTGAGGACCGCTGGGCTGGGGGAAGGTAAGGTGTGCGTGGGTGATGGCTGGGCCCAGAAGCTAAGGCCCGTGCTGGTCCAGCCACGTGAGCATCAGAGCCAGGTGCACAGAGAACCCCACAGAGGCGCCAGAGGGGACCTCAAGTGCAGCTGTAAAAGTGACCACCACCAAGCCTCCAGACAGGGCCTGGGCGGGCAGAAGCTGAGCAGTGGGGCAGGTGGGGGCTGTGGGATCAAACCAAAGCCTCTGAACAATGAATGCCATAAGCTGTCATTGTTTTCCTTAAGGCAAACTAATAAGAATTCTCTTAGCCACAAGATAAATCACTCATGCCACTGCATGAACCTGAGTGATTCTCAACTGTTCAGGGTTCACCCAGAAGCCCTCTCCATCTCTCCATCTCACAGAGCACGTGTTTTCCTCACACTCTGCCTGACTGACAAGGTCGCCCAGCTGCGGTCCCTTACCCATCCTTCCTTTGGCCGTGTTCTCTCCGGCTGCATCCCCCGGGGTGTGCATGGCTTTGGGTCGATCTGCAGAAAGTTTCAAACCAACCAGTTGTGAATGTGAGGCCATTTCCTTTAGGAAAGAAGGTGTTGCCACAGCAGCCCCCACCCACAGGCTCCATTTACCCTGCTCCAACATCCCATCTAAACACCAAGGCTTAATCCTTTTAAATCAACCCCACATTATAACGTTCTCAGCTGCAAACAGCAATCACGGTGCAGCATGCAATTAACCCAAAGGACCAACAAATGAGACAGCGAGAACCTCCAGGAAGGACACTTACATTTCGGCCGTCCAGCGTGTGTGGTCTGCTGGCCAGCACCGTTCCCACACAGTTTGGGTCTTTAAATTTGACAAACCCAAAACCTCGAGACTGGTTGGTTGTTTTATCTTTCATGATAACACAGTCTACAACTTCTCCATATTGGGAAAAGTAGCTGCGCAGGGTCTCTGCTCAGAGATTGGGAACAAAACACAAACACCACCAGAGTATTAGGCGCAAGTCTCATGAATGGGGTGTAAACTCTCTCTTCTGGCTCATCAGCTATGCCTGAAAATGTCAGCAACTAGCAACATTTAACAGGCTCATCCACTAACTGGGGGTGGGAGTGGGTTGAGCATAAAGGGAATTCTGCCCAACACGTGCATTCTGTCCTCGGGTATATCAGAGCAGCTGCCAGTGGCCACACAGCACTGGCACTCGGGCCCATGGCACCCAAAAGAGCAGAGTTTAAGGAAATGCAAACATGGCAACTCTGAATGCCGACCAGTAACTGTGGAACTCCGACTTCACAAACTTTTTCCTGCCCTTCTGATCTCAATGACTGCCCTGGCAGGACCCTAGCCCTCTGCATTCCACAGCCTCTAAAACATTCTGCCTCTAGAACCTTCCTCAGACTGAGCTAGGACCTGCCGTCTGAAGTATTGCCTAGAACACTGACACATCAGGACCAAATTTACAGGTGGTTTTTCTTTTTTAATTCTTTTTTTTGAGACAGAGTCTCACTCTGTTGTCTGGGCGTCAGCCTAGCTCACAGCAACCTCAAACTCCTGGGCTCAAGCAATCCTCCCGCCTCAGCCTCCTGAATAGTTGGGACTACAGGCATGCGCCACCATGCCTGGCTAATTTTTTCTATATATAATTTTAGTTGGCCAATTAATTTCTTTCTATTTTTAGTAGAGATGGGGTCTTGCTCTTGCTCAGCCTGGTCTCCAACCCCTGAGCTCAAATGATCCCCCGGCCTTGGCCTCCCAGAGTGCTAGAATTACAGGCCCAAATGAACAGTTTTGAAGCAAACACACCCCTCTGCACCCAGCCAACTTCCAATCAAATGTTCCCTGCCCAGAAAGCAAGATAACATCAAAAGGACCTTATCAAGCCCAAGATGGCAGCAAAAGGCTGACACCACCTAAAGGCCAAGGCCACACAGCCTGCAACCCCCCCCCCCACCTACCTTGGGTTGTGCTCCAGTCAAGACCACCCACGAAGAGCTTCCTGCAATTCAAGGAGAAACATTCAGGATCAAGAGGCTCTGCCTCAGAAATGCCCACATCTGACCCATCCTGAGGTCTTAGTTTTAAACATGGAAGAAGTTTATGCAAACGTGCTCAATTATGTCAACACCCAGAGCTCACAGCAGTAGGCATGTCAGCCTCCATGCTGTCTACAGACATGAAACATTATCCTGAGCCCTGCCAACACCCAGAGAGAGGACACACCAACCACGAGGACAGCAGGAAAGGAGTTCCAGTGACACAGGCAGCAGTGACCACACAGGCCCACATGGATTCCAAGGGGGATTCAGGGCATGCCTTCCTACTGTTTTTGCAAGTATTTTATCATAGGGAAAAGGAACTTAGAAGTCTGGTTTTGGTCTACGGCCATACCACCCTGAAAGCGCCTGATCTCGGAAACTAAGAAGGGTCAGGCCTGGTTAGTACGTGGATGGGAGAAGTCCAGTTTTGAGATGACACACAATAATGAGACGAAAAACAGACACCAAAGACACCCATGCCACACAGCCTCTGAATTACAGCCTGCGGAGGGGTCTAGCCAAAGCTTCAGCTATGGGTCTTGCTTTCATGAAGAGGGTCCCACAAATAATGGGGAGGGTCTTTGAAGCTCCAGGCTGAGAACAGGAGTTCCACGTCCACACTCCTATCCCTGGGTGGCCTGGGCTGTCTTTTTGGGCAGAGACACTAGAGCTCTCCCCAGGAATCCCACCGTCCACCCCATAGCCACACAGGCCAGCTGGGAGCAGGCCCTGAGCTGGCACCAGGCGCCCCCGTGGGCCTTGGCTGTCGCGCCTCCCAACAGGAACTGTGCTCACCTTGCAGCACCACTCAGCACAGCTGACACACTCAGGGCGCTCACCCACTCAAGGGGCCTCAGGTGTCACTCAGATTTCCCCCAAGCCCAGGAGGCATAATTGAGACCAGGAAAAGGGGAGTGTCCCCTCCTGCTGGCCAACCCAGGCAAGAGGACAACTGAGGGCTGTGTGCTATGTAGCAACAGAATTCTCACCCTCGGAACTGGACCCAGACGCTCTGTGGGGGTCTTTCGAAACCAGAGCATCCTCCAGGCTCAAGTGACCACCTGAGACACAGAACCCTGCCACTGCCCTGATACTACCAGTCCAACACATGTCCCCAACAGCTTTGAGACAAAAAGGCCCCTGCCAGGTTCAAGGCATTACTGGCCCATCAGCAGTCAAGGGAGGTGTGTGCCAGGACATGGATGTCCCTCTCCAGTCCCTGCCAGCTCGTCTGTAGAGACCCCTGCGAGGTGGCCGTCGCTCCCATTGCCTCCACTCTGTGACTGCCTGGCCACAAACCCCAGCCTCACGGAGTCAGCCCTTGCAAAGATGCTTGCTCCTACTCTTTCTTTCTCCATAAGGGTAATTTTCAACTTAGTATGTGAAAAATAATTGTCCCATCACCAAAAAGGTACCCACTGCCATCTTCAAAATGTCACAAGGCCAGCACCCATTCCCAGTTCTGTCGTGGGGAGGGTAAGGACGCAGGCTGGGCTACAGGGCACAGCAGCTGCCCTGTGTTGCGTGTCCTTTAGAGACGAGATCTGTGTAGACAAGTTTCAGGGGAAACGTGCTGAGCAAGCAGTGCGGGAGGTTCAGATTTAGGCCTCATTAACTCAAACTCCTGCGTCTCCCACGCACCCTTCAGAGCTGGGCCAGGGAACACGGAGGTCAGGCCCAGCGATCCCACAGGCTGCGCCAGGCAGGCACTGCTGACTCAGCCCAGCACCTCCCACGTCCCTGGCCAGCAGGGCCGGCACACAGCAGGAGTGCCAGGCGACCTCCATGAATGAATGAGTGAAGGGCCCTCAAAGCTGTCTGGAACTTCGAGAAACTGTGGGTTTGCACAGTCCTTTGGGAGGGGAGTTCAAGCATTCTCAAAAAAATAAAAAATAAAGAGCCATCATTCTCAAGCGCCAGTGCCGCCTCTTGCTCGCCGAGCTCCAGCCGAAGGAGAAGGGGGGTAAGTAAGGAGGTCTTTATATACCATGGCTCGTACAAAGCAGACTGCCCGCAAATCAACCGGTGGTAAAGCACCCAGGAAGCAACTGGCTACAAAAGCCGCTCGCAAGAGTGCGCCCTCTACTGGAGGGGTGAAGAAACCTCATCGCTACAGGCCTGGTACAGTGGCACTCCGTGAAATTAGAAGTTATCAGAAGTCCACTGAACTTCTGATTCGAAAACTTCCTTCCAGCATCTGGTGCAAGAAATTGCTCAGGACTTCAAAACAGATCTGCGCTTCCAGAGCGCAGCTATTGGTGCTTTGCAGGAGGCAAGTGAGGCCTATCTGGTTGGCCTTTTTGAAGACACCAATCTGTGTGCTATCCATGCCAAACGTGTAACAATTATGCCAAAAGACATCCAGCTAGCAGGCCGCATATGTGGAGAATGTGCTTAAGAATCCACTATGATGGGAAAACATTTCACTCTCAAAAAAAAGATTCTCTTCTTCCTGTTATTGGTAGTTCTGAACGTTAGATTTTTTTTTCCCCATGGGGTCAAAAGGTACCTAAGTATATGATTTCAAGTGGAAAAATAGGGGACAGAAATTAGGTATTGGCAGTTTTTCCATTTTCATTTGTGTGTGACTTTTTAATATAAATGCAGGATATGAAGCATTAATGCAAGTCAAATGTTTCAGTGAACAAGTTTCAGCAGTTCAACTTTATAACAATTATAAATAAACCTGTTAAATTTTTCTGGACAATGCCAGCATTTGGATTTTTTTTAAAACAAGTAAATTTCTTATTGACAGCAAAAAATAAAATAAAATAAAATAAAATCAAACCCAAGTCACTTGGACCAGCCTTTGTTTAGCGCTGCACCCAACTCAAACAAACAGTAAGGCAATGAGCAGGTGTCATTTCTCCAAGCACCCATCCCTGCCTGCCCTGGGAGGAAGGAACTTGTCAGACCAGTCCAGGTTGAGCCCCATTTACATTTCAGAAAGCCAGCACTGAGGGGGAAGGCGAGGTAGCCATTATTGGCACAGCTGACAACCCTGGCAGAGGCCCGTGGTCAGGTAACAGTGTCAACACTGCACTTCTCCACTTCTACCGCTGCGCTGTGTCCATAAAGGAGAATGAAAGTCTGTGTTCTTGGAAAACAGCACTGACCTCAGTGTCCACATGAAGGGACACCGAGTCTCCAGCTCACTCCCAGATATTTCAATAAAAATACACATGTGTCATGGCAGGAGCAGCACGTGCCAAGGGGCAAGATGTTAGCCTGTGGTGAGCCTGGTTGGGTAAAGACTATATAGAAATTTTTGCTCCTGTTTTTTATTTTTCCGAAGTCTGAAGTTATACACAACTATGTTATAAAAAATTTTCATTACTGAGGAAATGACAGAATTTAAGTTTCCTTTGGAACAACAGGCTTATCACTTATGAAATCTGGGCTGGATGGCAAGAGATCTTTCATTTTACACAGTGTGTCTGCTCCGGAGGAGGAAAACCTCGAGCCTGTGCCGTGGCTGCCGTGTGTATCTGCCATGCTCCTAAGGCGAGACTGGCACATTCTCCCCAGTCTACAGACAGAAGGTTCCAGGAGGTTCCAGGAGGTCCCAGGAGGCAGGTCTTGCCTCCTTGAAGGCAGGGACCAGCTCCAGGGCCCCAGCACAAAGTCCCCATTTCAGAGGTTCAGGTGTTTCCGATCAATAGAGCAAGAATGCTCCTGGCTTCCAACCCGGCCAGGCAGCAAGAAGCCAGCAGCAGGATTCGAGGGCCCAGACCCCAGAAACACACGGCTGGGCCTGGCCCTCAGTGAACGTAAACCGGCCACTTTCTACCCCACCCCGCCGCCACCTCAGGTGGTGTGACCAACCTGACACACGCTGATGTTCAGACTTCCCGTGACTCCGCCACAGAAGGGGCTATGCCAGTGTCCAAGGGTCTGCAGACCTTACCCGCTCACTGGGGCTGGCAGTCCCTTTGTAGTACTAACAGCCTGGCCTTGCTTGGACTGCCACTCACTTGGCAGTGTGTGGACTTAACGTGTTAACTGGCCAGTTAACGCTGGACTATGCAGATTAAGAGATTAGCTAAAATGTGGCTGTCACGCTGGTCCATCGGCTGGCAGCATGTCTAGAGCAGGGACTCAGGGGCTCCTACAGACCCTGCACCCCACAAACCCACAGGGGTAGGCAACTCCCACATGGAGCTACCACCTGCTCAGCTCCCCCTGCCCACGTAACCCAGAGTCAGGTGTGCTATCTGCCCCCCAGAGGTCCTGACAGATGTCCTCTGGGATCTGCACACTTGGTACCTGGGGCACCAAGACCCAATCTCGAGCCTCCACTTGGCCCTGTACCCCAGAACCTGCACGCGCAACACAGTGGGTGCTCAGTCCGTGGCTGCTGGAGGCTTCCTTTCGGAGAGAACTCTGCAGAAGCAACCTGGGGCCACCAGACAGGTTAATATTCACCCTCTTCCACCTGTTGAAACCAAAACATGTTTTTGGATGACGACCTGCTTGTGCTCTGTGTACTTTAGGGCAGCCGCGTGGCATTTATGCCAGAAAGTAACTCTCCAGAGGCTTCCCCTGGCCCCGGCTGAGCGCCAAGGCCGCCGGCCTCCTGGCAGCACCCTAAGGGGCTTTGCAAAGTGACAGCCTGGCCTGGCACCCTGGGCAAACAGCCGCCCCATGCAGTGGGCACCACCGGTGCCTTCTTGCAGGGCCCGGGACCCAGCCGGAGCCTGCCTTCCACTGACGCGCCTGGGTGGCGTCACCATCACCCTCGTGAGCTCAGCCCACAAAGGAAGGAGGCGGCCCAGGCCGAGTGCCGGCCGTTCTGTAAACAGGCCTTTTACTTCTTCAAGAAAATAAAACCACAGCCTATGCATGGACTTTCCTGCCTCCCAGGGTGGGTCACGCTGAGACCTCACCCCCCCCAGAGCACAGCCCCCCTTGAATGGAGCCTGGGAGCCCAGCACCACCCCAGGCAGCCTCGGCTCCCTGCAAGGATGCAGCAGACCCAGAAGCCAGGGCGGTCACCCCACTTCCCAGCCCTCCTGCCAGAGAGGAAGCTCCCCTGGCGGGTCAGAACCAGGACCACCTCACCCATAGCCCACCTCTTGGCCTGTGAGCCCAGGCCAGCCCAGGCCTTCTGACACTCAGGCTTCCCTCTGGCCAACAGGGTAAGATTCCCCAGCCCCACCTCAGGGCCCACAGGTCACATGAGAAGCATCATGAACAGTAACATGCTGTCATGTGAAGGAGCCCCCGAGCACCCTTGTACCTGGTACTAACTACTTACACATACAACCTCCCAAGAGGCTCCACATCCCGCCCTCCCAGACAGACCAGGGTCCTCCCGGACAACCTCAGAGCCAGGAAGGAACCTTGGTCATGAGCATTTGCCAAGTAAGTGACCTGCTGCCTAACACTGTCCTCACAACTCGTAAGTGATCCTGACATCACAACGGGATGCGGCTACTCCGTGATACCCTCCACAGAAACGGTGCTGTCGTGGGAGACAGGCTCAGATGAGAAAAAGGCCTCAGTTGACAGAAGAAAATCTCTAGTTAGCAGTCCGAGTAACGAACAGAGCTGGCTGACCACAAGCATCCTCTGTGCCACGTGGACAGTGAAAGGAGTGTGGACTCCCAGGTCTGACCTGCCCATTTCCTGGGGTGACCCTGGGCAGGTCCTCTGAACTGTCTCTCTGGCAAAGGGAATGGTCAGAGTCTGGACTGCAAGCACCAGTAGGTAGCCAGCATGCCGCAGGGGCTCCCAGGAGGTGGGTGTCAGCGCTAAGTCACTCTTGGGAGTGTCCCCATGTGGGGAGGGCAGGCGTGGTTTGCCATGATGCTGCCTATCTAAACGCACGGCCTGCTGCAGACCACTTAAGTCGGAGGCAAGTTGCTCGGGAACACGTGCTGCCTTCACAGCCCATCACACAGGCTCCGAACCAGCCCCCGCCGCAAGACGCAAGTCCAGAACCACAGGAGCAAATGGCAGGAACACAGTGGGAACCAGGCCAAAAAGAGCAAAGACATTCCCAGACAGTGGCTCTCACTCAGGCAATTCTGTCCCCCGGGGGGCACTGAGCCATGTCTGGGGACATCTGCGGTTGCCACACTGGGGGGAGCTCCTGGCATGGGGTGGGTGGAGACAGGGTCTCTGCTCAGCACCTGCAGTGCCCAGGACACTCCACCCCAAAGGACGATCCAGGCTGGAATATTGATAGTGCCAAGGTAGAACGACACCCCTGGGAATAACTCCCAAATGCGATGCAAGAGCCCTAGAAAGGACCATCTCTGCCCCTACCCCCATTAGGTCCCCACAGCCCCTACACTGCAAGAAACAGCCTCCTCCCTAAGTCAGGCCCGCCTCCGACCTGACCAATAACAAGCCCTCCCACTCTGCTCTGCTCACCCTGGCCGGGTGTCTAATCACCTTTCCAGGACCCGTCAGGAGCCCAACTCAGGGGTGTCTGTTTCCAAACCCACTTTAGAAGTAACCATGACCACAAAGGACCCAAGCCCTCGGCCCATCCCCCGCCCTGCACCATTGCTCAGCCCGGCTGCAGGAACCACTGTCGGCCTTCCTGGCTCTGGGCAGCTGTAGACTCATGCCACGGGCGTAGGTCTTTTCTCTAAGCCACCAGATGCTGCCTTCTCTTCCCTCGGATGAGTGCTTCCTTCCTCTGCGACTTTCCTCAAATACGTCCAGGTGTCCCTGTCTTGCCACTCCCAAGCTGACGCAGACAGAACCAAGTGTACCAGATAAAATCTTCCATGAACCTCTGTCCAGCTCCATGACAGTCTACTGCCTCAGAGGCCAGCAGAACAAAATGGTCACTCGAGGCAGCCGCTTAGAGCCTCTCCTTCCATGCCAACCCAGGAGTGAGCCCTGGGGCCAGACATCAGCAGCCACTCGTGTGGGCCAAGAGCCTGCTGGTCTCGGAGGTCGTGGCAGCTCCCAGAGCCTAAGACAGAGGGGCCTAAAACCCAGAGACTTTACTTCCTGGGGCCCAGGGAGGGGCAGGACAGACAGCAGCCCCCCCAGCTCATCAGCCCTCCAGACTCCCCACTCAGCGCCCAGTCCTCTAAATCCAGCCAGCAGGTGAGTGCCTGTCCCCATCCTGCACACAAGAGGACCAGAAGAGGCCTCGCTCCCAAGTGTGGGCCACACAGACCATAACTGCTACTGCTCAGATGGTCCTGCCCATCCTGAAGATCCAGCCCTCTCCCTTCCTAGGCTGCCATGGGCTGCAGAAAACATACGAAAGACCAGTACAGCTGCCCAAACTTCTGTTCTCCTGTCGGGCTGCACGGTCATGACTCGAGTCGCTCTCTCCCCAGGTTCAAAGGCAAAGGCAGAGCTTGCCCAGAGGATGACTCGAGAGCCTACTTCCTAGGAGTGATCCTGGGTGTCGACACACTTCCTAGGACACAGACACCTGCTGAGCTCCAGCAGGTGCAGACTTGGACGCAGGTGTCCAAGGCTCTGACCCCTGCACCCCACAGCTGTGTGCTCGGCCGGGCCCTCCACGGTGGATCTCGAACACTCCCACCTCCTCCTCGGTGGCTGTGGCCAAAAGTTCCACATCAGGAAGAGGAGCAGTTCCTCTAGCCTGCTGAGCCCTCAGGAGGGGGATCCATGCAGCTGGCTGTCGGTGAGGTGTGAGCGGACAGTGTATGTCACTAGATATCACAGTGGACCCTTCACAGGATGGGTCTGCCACCCGCCTAAAAAAGAAGA